TCTTTGCAACTTCAGGGATCTTATCTATGCACAATCAACTTGTAACACTCCAAAGAGAAAGGAAAACTTGAAATCGCATCATATGACCCCTTTAAATTAATCTTCAAATTGAATAAATATTCCATTTCAGGCACACACTGGATATTTTGTTTACCTAAGTCTTTTAAGCGTATGGCTTTCACTGTCCTCAAACTAAGACTGATGATAGCATAAACCAATGGCTGTCGAGTGCGGGAAGAGAACACACATTTTTTTGGTTGACTGAACTGACTGAACACAGCCCGTTTGCTGAGTGAGTCAGCGTTATATTACTGAACTAGACTGTAGGTGTTTCAATTCATCATGTAGTAGATCTATCTTGTTTAGATTAAGAAGAGAAAGGGGATTGTGGAAAATGACCGTACACATTTAAAATTAGGTAAGGATGTTATTGATTTAAATACAAAATCTTCCTGAAAGTCCCTTTCAAGTAGTTTAATAATAACTTGAATTTTAACAGAGAATAGCAAGACTTCTTTCAGTCGCGAATCAGTTGAATGAATGATTCAGTGACTCACTATTTGCGATGTAAATAGACAACGAATATATTAGATTTAAATAGGGGTACTGAAATTACCTTCTTGAAAAGCACCAACGAGTCGCTTTTTACATCATACTTCTTGAAGAGTTCTGGGTTGCTTGTGATGCCGAAGTCAAAGTCCACTGCTATTAAAGTTACATCATAAAATGTCTTTGCCTTATCTCCTTCCAAATCCTGGGACAAATTTCAATAAATTAAAGTAATAACTTTTCAATGATACATCTTTTGTTATAAATAGAGAGTGCAATGATATGTTTTACTAGAACTCTTTGGCTATAAGGCAATGTCATATCTTAAAAAGTCAGTTACTTTATGCAAACAATAGGTAATTTACCTGGAAGAATCCAACCACAACCACATCATGTGCATCCAGCAGAGCCTGTGCACTCTTCACATCATTGAGAACAGTAGCGCTGGGCCCCGTGTGCCTCTCCAGCCACCTTGTGATTCCTTTTACCGTTCGCTTTCCTGTTCAAATCACAGAATAATGCCTATGAGCTTGTGTTTATAGAACACACTGTATGACAATAACATCATGCATGCAAATGCACCAAACAAATAAATGCATTACCAGAAAAATCAGTGGCATTTTGCCTATTGCCGTCTTTGAAGAATTTAAGAGTGGGAAAACTGCCCACGTCGAACTCTGTGGCAAAGTCTTTCTCTTCGTCGATGTCCACTTTGGCCAGTCGTACTTCAGATGACCCATTTTTCAGTAATTCAGCCACTTCTGCATAAATGGGCTCCAAATTGCGACAGTGACCACACCATGGAGCATCTTTTTATGTTTTAAAAGACAAGAACAAGTGTCATACTAGCATGTTGTCACAAAGGCTATATTTCAATAACTAGAAGGTTTTGAGCAGTGCCAGCCCGACCTAATAAGCGATGTAAGCGGTTGCATAGGACCCCGTGACCACCAGGGGGCCCCATGTCAGGGTTCAGACAGTAATGCTGCTTGATATAATAACTTTGATAAAGTTTCAGTCGGGTGTGTTAATATTTGAAAATGAAGAGGAGACACTATAAAACTGGTGCAGACTGCAGAGAAGTGGGAAAAGAGAAAAGAAAGTGATCAAGAAATGGGTAAGTGGGGGATTTTAAAAATATATTGTTGAAATGGTGAATGGTGCATCATGCTGCGAGCGCTTTGAAGACACGCTGTGAATGAAACAACAGTAATGAACATGAATGGTATTGTTACAGTGGGCAATTCAAAATACGCGAATAATTCTAGATATCTTATTATCCCAATGGTTTGGATTTTTAGAACGCACATTATCTTATTTTCCATCGACCAGTTAAGTTTGACAACACTACGTGTTTACTGCGTAAAAGTTGGGTCAGATTTTCTCATTGAGCTAAACAAAAGCAGCAGAAGGGCTGAATTGAAATGCAAGTTCGCTCTCTGACAGCAGGTGGCACTTTAGGAACAGCCATAAGCCGTTACCATGGTTACCCCTCTACACAAAGCAGGGCGCTGCTACTTCTGACACCTGCTTGTTTGTCATGCAGGTCAAAGTCAAACAGTATTTACATGTTTTCAAACAGCCGTTCAGATTATTTTTATTCACTTTGGTGTTTATCAAATAACACCAAATATTTAAATATACCATATCTTTATTCACACATTTGTTTACACGTATATAATCTGCTTGTTTAGGGCCCCCAAAATGCTAGGGCCAGCCCTGGTTTTGAGTCACACATAGTTTTATGAATTGTTCAAATGCTTTGGAACTTTCTATTCAACAGATCCGGAAAAACACTGATAGTAATAAGAAATGTTGTGAGAATTCAGCATATATTCTACTGATCATGTGACACTAAAGAGTGCGGTAGCTAATGGCTGCTATCACATCAATGAATTATATTTGAAAATATATTAAAACAAAACAGTTATTTATAATAATATTTCATACAAAAGGCTTTGTGATCCTTAACTTTACTCTGAAATTGTTTAACTGTTACAACTATTCACTATATTTTAGGTTCAGAGCATGCAGTTCAGAATTAAATGCCAGTTACGTTTCAAAATGCATTTGCGTAAATGTTGACATTAATAATATCAGTATTTTTTCACCTTGGTTCTTACATTTTACTGCAATGACAATAGCATAATACACAATTGTATCATTTGCATAACTGGCCCTCCTTACAAGCTTGGGAGAAATAACAGGTGCGCTCCTAATGGATGATGTGTCCAACAAATGCTAATAATCTTTGAACTTGTGCTGCTTTTGACAGGATAGTTTAAATGCGTGCAGCTGAATATAAAACTTTCTAAATGATAATTTAAATCATTTTGAACACACATTGAAGTAAAAATATATTGTAGTAGTGTTTTCTTGCATTATTTAGACAAAGATCAGAATGACCATTTGCATGAATGACCATTTCAAAAGTCATAGAGTACTTACAAAATTCCACAAGCAGGTATTTGTTCTCACTGAGAGCTCTATCAAAGTTGACGCTATGAAGGACCAAAACGTCTTTCTCTTCTGTAATTTCTTCTGTCTTCTCTGGTTTCTCTGGTTCTGTGTCTTCTTCAGAGCTGTCCTCTACTTTTTCCTCTACTTTGTCCTCAGCTGTTTCCTCCTCTGCCCTCACACACAGGCCGCAGAGCAAGAGGGTGAGACCCAGGATGTGTAGAAGCCTCATGATCGATCAGTTCAGTGGCCTACAGAGAAAGAGCGCTGAAATGAGCTGTAACATGCTGCTGTGTGGTCTTGTGGTGCTGATAAGAGCACACCGATGCTGACGAATCATTGAAAAGCCTGCGTGGTGCAAATCTACTGGTCTTACTTGCCACTTCACATGAGCTCTGAAAGTGAGCCGTTGGAGAGTGGAAAATTAACATCAGATTACAAGCAAATATAATAACGTAGGAAATTCACATCACTTAGTATCCTGAGAATGTCTTTATTGCTTGCTTCCAGTTATCTAGAATAGTGTCCAGTAGATATCATTGAAAAAACAAGTAGTAGTGTGTGTGTGTGTGTGTGTGTGTGTGTGTGTGTGTGTGTGTGTGTGTGTGTGTGTGTGTGTGTGTGTGTGTGTGTGTGAATTAGCCGTGACCAAACCACGTGTCCATATCTGGCCTTTCTGCCCATGTGCCACACGTAAGCACTCAGAGGACCGAAATGAAGATCTGCACACATGCACTATTTAAACAAATTATGAAATTATAGAGAGGGACATGCACTCATTTTCCCACACACTCACTGCATAGACAGAGGTGGGATTCTGTTCTACCAAAACTTGTATTCCCTGTGAATTATTCAGCTTAACGGCCTGTGGTTATGTGGACAAATATAGACATCTAGTTCAGTGTGTTTTGTGCATGTAGTATGACAGGGCAGATTCAGTTACCATTCATTATTAACAGGAAATGTGTTGAAACCAGTTTACCAAGTGCCTTTCATTCTGTTTTCTGTCATTGTTCTACTGATTCAAAGTCTATAATGAACATAAATGTGAGTGTTATTCCACTTCTTTCTTGAATACTTGATTGACTACAGGCAGTGTTATTTTAAGTATCATTGATATACTATTATAGTTTTTGTTAATATTTAGATTTTTTAATATTTTCTGATTTTACAAGATTTTTTAATATTTTCTGTTTTCACTTTAATTTGAGTTAAAGTTACAGAATTTTCTGAGCATTTTTGTGATTTTTATTGATAATTTTTGATAATGTCTATAGTTTTTATTACTTTTTATTTATTAGTTTTAGTTCATTATTTTAGTACTTTATATATATATATATATATATATATATATATATACACAAAAATAATAAAAAATAATATATATATATATATAGTTATTTTGTTTTAAAGTTATTTTGTTTTTAATAAATGTGTTTTTCCCTTCATGATTTTTGTTTTAGTTGACGATAATAACCTTAAGTGCAGGTAGGCAATTTCCTTCATTGCAAGTTTCATTGGGTTCACAAATGGTCACATTGGGGTTCAGTTGTTGCAATTTATTTTGTGATTGTGACCTAATTATACATAATTTCTTACTTATTTCTGCCTTGTAATTGGTCATCTCTGTGTGAGGCGTTAGAAGCGTTATTGATCGCAAACAGGGTGTTTTATTAGCACTTTGTTGCATACATTTTTTAGCAAAATAATTCTGTCTTTTTATACATGAAAATAAACTCGAGAGTAAGAATGATATAAAATGTTGTAGGAGTAGTATTTTAAATTGAAAAACTGAATACTGAATGCACTGCCAAAAAAAACTAAAGTTAATTAATAAAATAACATAAAAAATATTACAATGAAAACAACTGAGAACAGAACATGATAAAATGCACTTTTGTCTTGTGCAGATATTTTACTGAAAAACTAGGCAGACATTAAGAACAAGAAGAAAAGCAGAACAAATTAACAACATGATATTTTGCTGTGTAGAAGACAAGCTGATTGATTATGACAGTGGATAGTCACAGTTGAATTCATTGGGATTTTCTCTGTCCATGGCCCAGTGAGCAAGTAAATCACTGAAGTCTGGTGTGCTTGAGCTACTGAGAGTCCCTGAGATACTGGAGCTGGTCATGGTGCAAACGCTCGTGTTACTGAACAAACTCAATGACGTGTTGATGTGACTGGAGCCCTCTGATGTGTTAATCATCCTGAGAGAGTTCTCTTGTGTGTTTGCATCACCCAACACGTCAAGCTGATGTGCAAAAGGCTCTGTCCAGAAACTGTTTGGCAGGCGACGTTGGTTCATGGGTAAACCCCGTCCTTTCCTTTGAGCGTCTTGAAAGAGCTCTGCAAGGGGCCCGAGCAGCTCAGGCTCCTCCGCCTGCCCTGATGATGCTACTTTGATGAAGTCAGCGTAGTACCGCTGGCGGCCCCCGACTTTTGGACACGGTCTCTCTGCATAGATGTCACAGGCATCAGGGTCTTGGCTTCGGCCGAAGTAGCGCTGGACATCGTTGCTGATGAGTTCAGCAAACCGCAGGAGCTGATTGGTCATCTCAGCGTTATTGGGGGATGAATCAAATCTCCATGGCTCTTCCTCTTGAGACTCACTGGCTACTGCATCCTCGTCCTCCTCCAAACTGTCCTCTCTCAGCTCCTCTTCATATTCTTCTTCGGTCTCCTCCTCATCCTCAGCCGGAAAGAAGCAGGGAGGGAAGGGTTTCGCCAAACCCAGGTTACTCAGCGTCCTGATAACACTTGCTGCCATCCTATGAAGAAAATTATATGTATACATAAATATACACCAGATTGGGGACAGTTGTCACGAAGAAAAGGGCTATATCTCGGTAATACCGAATGGTCGATACAGACATTTTTATAGTTTTCTCATAACAAGAGTATTTTTTTTTGTTTAATAAATGCATATTAAACATATATGTACACACACACACACACATGTTTTAAAATACATATATGTATTTTAAAATTATTTTAATTTTAACCATTGTGTTTTCTGTAAAAATGCTGGACAATAAAAATGTTATAACTTGTGTAAGATTAAATGTGACAACTTTGTTATATAGCTAACAGAAAAAACACATAAGCATGAAAGAATTAAAGAAAAAGAAAGAAAAAGAACTTTAGAACATGTTAAAATGTGAGTCTCTCTTACCGTGTAATGCTCGATGGATGTCGCTCGTGAAGTCGTGCTGTCCGTTTCGCGTTATGGATAATTAGCGGTTTGCTCATTTATACCCATCGCTCGTGGGGAGTCTGTTTTCTGAGCAAATATTTAGACGCGCGTCTGTAATTGTGTTCTGCTCAAACAGAGCGTGAGTTTGTCTGGGCTCCCAGCAACCGGCGAGACGGACGGAAACTGGCGCACGCGGCGGCCGCTTCGCTTGCCGGGGGACGCTCAAGTGTCCGTTCACCTCCGCGCGTCTGACTCACAGCTGTTATCGTGTAGCTGGTGGCCACTTAAGGATGAACCTAAAAAGGCGTGAAATCGCATCTTACGCCGTTTTGACTTTTGAATGAGCCCCTTTATAAAACCCCATTAAAAAGACAAGCAAGCCAAATGACGCCCATTATGCTCCGTTGATCTGTCTGAGGTGCGTTTGACCTTATAACTAATGTGTCACGTTTATATAGGCTACAGCAAATCAAAAGTTTATTAATTAAGTGCACAACACAACAGTAAAGTGTTGTTTCTGCAAACTACAAATAAAGAAAAGAGAGACTGAATCATAAAAAAAGCTATGGTGTAAATTCAATTTAAGATCTAAGAGCTAGTTGTTACACAGTGTATCTCATTGTCACAAAGGCTAGCCTATATCAAAGTTATAGGCTAAATTAGACAAATGTGTGCTTTCACTAGCAGTTTTTTAAAATGTATTTCAAAACACGTTTAATTAATATTCATTATCTGACATAAAATTTCAAGATTATATATCTATTTCCCCTCAAAATAAACCTACACTTTTCACTGGACTCAAAAGTGACAACTAACCCTGGTCTTAAATGGGGATTATAGCAAACAAACCTTTTTAAACTACAATAAAATTACAATTAAATGTAGTTACTAGTCGCAAATTATAAAGTATAAAATATGAAAACAATTTTAACGTCATAGAAAAAATTAATTCAAGGGTTTTTTTTGGTTTTGTTTCTTATATAAATAAGTATATAAAAGTGCATTTATAAATTGAGTGTAAAATGTCAGACTTTCTAAAAATAAAATGCCACATTCAAAATGCTTTCCAGGTAAACAGTCTATGAGGTGGCAGGAGGAATATACTGTAGTAGAAGCAGCTTAACATGATGTATGTGTGTGTAACATTGATTAAAGACTAAGAAGAGCAAGAGAGAGTGTATGTGTGTGTGTGTGTGTGTGCTCAGCATGAGTGAATATGAGCTGGACGCAGGGCAATAGAAAAGCTAATGGCCAGCAGTGGAGAGCACAGCATCTGGACTAACATATGTCAGAGAACAAGAACACTTAACTGCAGCTTCAGGTTGGTCAGACAGCATGTAATGGCTTAACCATCCGTCACCCACAGGTGGACATTACACATGATTACAAGATTTAGAACTGTCCTTCTGTTATTTTACAAAAAATAGAGTTCTACATTATGGTTTAATAATATATATATATATATATATATATATATACACTGTGTTAATTTAGAACACTGAATGTATACACAAAAACAATAATCAAACATTTCACATTGCACAAGTGCACAAGACAACTACTGAGACATGTTCTTTGTCACTTCAAATTTTAGTTGTATAGTCCTAAAGGGTTGTTAATCATAATCTTAATGCAAATAAAGTTTGCCAGAAGGGGAATTTAGTATGATCTTAGTATGATGAAGAGTTTGTGTATGAGGGTTTTTTATTGATTTATAAAAAGGGAATATATATATAGAGAGAGAGAGAGAGAGAGAGTTTGTGTATGAGGTTTTATTGTATAAAAAGGCATAATACATACTGTACATACATACATTGCATTTTAGAAATGTTATATATACAATGGCACATTTATCATGTTTTTTTGGCCTTTCAACATAACAGTATGAGGTCTTGACCAGCATATAGCACTGTTGCTGTTTTCATGAATTCTCACTGTAACCATAAATATGGTGGATGATAGTTGCAGTATATATAGTAATAATAATAATAATAATAATAATAACAACAACAACCAGCAGTTGCTGCAGTATATGGCTGAAATCTTAAATATCTTGACTCATTTATAAATATTTTTCATTTGTTTTATTGCTTTGTTTTATTCCAAATACTTTTGAATGATCAAAAAGTAAATACATAAAATAGTAAGTAAATGCAATTGAAATCTTTTTTGTGTGTGTGTGTGAATTGAATCCCACTATGGCGAAGGCCTGGCTCATGAATATTAATCAGGTCCTTATGCCGTTGCTTGGCAACCATTCTGAAGCGTCCCGCAGGGAGATGGTCCTCACTGCAGAACACAAGATCCAGGGGGCGTTGTTGGATCCAGATCCAACACCTCCCACCCTACATATACCTAAACCTACCCATCTCCACCCCCTGATCCCTAAACCCACCCATCTCCACCCCTAAACCTACTAATCTCCACCCCCTAGATGTGGCTCCAACCACGCCCTCTGGATCTTGTGTTCTGCAAGTGAGGGGCTACTGAATCCTTCTGCAGCGCAGACTTATCTTATGAATATTACGATGGCCTTAGGACTCAATTAATATTCATTAACAGGAACTACCACCCGATTGGCCTTTTGGAAGAATGACACGAACCTTAAGTAATATTTATGAGCGGCGAAGAGGACGTTATGCATAGCCTACGTATGAAGCCGACGTCCAGTATTTCTGTTTTGAACCAGGAAGTAACGAGTTACAACAGTCCGTAGACATTTGAAGAACACTACAATGGGCTGACTGAGGAGAAGCTAGACTGCATTATGGAAAAGTATTTTGCACCGTGCCTTCTACTGTATGTTATCGCTGGCTGTTTTGCTGACGGTGAGTTTTTGGGAGCGCTTTAGATATCATAGATATATATTTGCGGTATTTAACAGCCGTTTTATCAGCTTTTCGCTCTTACCCAAATGTCACAAAAATAGGCATGGGTTTTCGTAAATATTTTTAGTCGTTTAGGTAATCGAACGCAAATCTGTTTCGTAGTATGTTTATGCATAAATAAGGTTTTTACATAAACATGCTGGAAACGAATAAAAGGATCTCGCTTATTGTGATTGTTTGCATCTGACGCTATCATGACGTCATGCTCTGCCCCCCAGATCTCACTTACTTGAACGGGTTCTACTCTAAAACGCCTCAGAGGCTGTCCAAATACAGCTGGTTCGGTAATGTTCGGCTCCATCACTTCAGAGTACCGGAAGATGCGGTGCTCGTGCGGTGGCTGCTCACCGTCTCACGGGGATCCGGACTGAACTGTGGCAACCAAAACATCACTGTGTATGTATGGTGAAATTAGGACGGTAAACAGGCGTGTGTGAATAATCCATGAATTTGAAGTGCTTTCAGTATTGAAATAATCTTTTGAAAGCTTTACCATGATAAAAATGTTTCCCTCCAAAAATCACGCTTTTAGGTAAAAGTTTGGGTAAATTTTATGGAGAACTTGCTATTATGCAACACTGTGATGAAATGAAATGTGCTCAAATCCTGAAAAGCTCTTTGAAGGAGATTTACAGGGTTTTATAGTTGTAGTAATAGCTGTAGTTGCTATGGTATTTTGGCAGAAATTATGTTACTGTGGTAACCCATTTGAAAACGTCCAATATCAAGCTTGGGTTTTAATGTTTCTAATGGTTTATAAATATTTCAAGTTAACATGAAATGAAAATGTACCTTTTCTATTTTCTAAATGCATGTTATAGATCTTATTGTGAAGAATGCATGTTTCTTTCTCTCTCTCTCTTTTTTTTTTAATGTTTTGAACCTTGTAATATTCAATCAAAATATTACAACTGGTCTTTGGGTTTAGACCTGTGATGTATGCAGGACTTGCTTACATCTGTGTCCACTTTTGTGTGCAACGTCCTCATCTCAAAATCCAATCAGACATAGATACATAGAACCAAGTCCTCACCTTACTCCCCCCCCCCTTTTTTCCCCATGATTTTTGTCACAATATGGAAGAAAACATCTGTTTGTACTTCCGTTTCATTGTGACGTTAATGTTTTCATTTTTACAGGTTTACGTCTATGCTGCTTACATTTCAGTATGTGTTGATGCATCTAAGAATTATCACCATGGAGCTCTTTCTTAGAGATCACTTCTTGGAGACTGTATACAGAAGACAAATTCTCATGAGAACTCTTAAACTGAGAAGCCCAAGATTATTGTGTACGGCATCAATACCAGGAGACCTGCTTAAAAATGCTTGGAAACATGCAGACTATTAAAGAGCACATGCAGATGTCAAATCATTTCATTTATATACTAATATACTCCTAAAAGATGACAAAATAAACTTTTAGCAGCTAAAATGCACCAACAAATTAAGGAAAATTGTTTATCAAACCATTTCATGGGGTATTTAACCTTAAGTTGCCCCAGAGACTCTTCCTGAAAGAAGTACTGTATACTATAATAGTTGGTTATAAAAGTAGTCAAAAGCAACTAAATGACAAAGTAGTAATATGTTTTCTAATTATGTCGCTTGACATTGACTTTTGTCCATCTAATGCACATCAACAGGCACTTTAGGGCAGGAGCGCCCCCGGTCATCAACCCCATAGAAACAGCCTTTCCGAACTCCACATCTGTGTCTCTTGCTCACAATTTGACGCTGACCATTCCCAGTGGACAGAGCAGCAATGTGACACTGTTCAATGTGACCTATCCCAAACCTGGAGACTGGTTCCTTGCTGCTCACCTGCCCAAGGATGAAGGGAAGATAGAGCAGCAGGTGTGTGTGTGTGTGTGTGTGTATATATATTATATATACACTGAACAAAATTATAAACGCAACGCGTGACTGGTTTTCGGACCCCCCAATACAGTAAAACTGCACATTTTAGAGTGGCCTTTTATTGTGGCCAGCCTAAGGCACACCTGTGCAATAATCATGCTGTCTAATCAGCATCTTGATATGCCACACCTGTGAGGTGGATGGATTATCTCGGCAAAGGAGAAGTGCTCACTAACACAGATTTGTGAACAATATTTGAGAGAAATAGGCCTTTTGTGTACATAGAAAAAGTCTTCGATCTTTGAGTTCAGCTCATAAAAAATGGGGGCAAAAACAAAAGTGTTGTGTTTATATTTTTGTTCAGTGTAAATATATATATATATAAGGGATGTAACGATTACTGGTTTGAAGATAAATCATAATAAAATTCCCCACAGTTAGTATTAACGTTTCATCTTTTAATTATCATTAAAACCGTATAAGATTACCTCAATTTGAACAACTCGAGATAAATATATACTGTCCAGCATAAAGCACAGTAACATTAACAGTCTAACGTGCGCACAGCACAGTAGTTTCGTTTTGAGTGAAAACAGGGTGGAAAAGCGGGGAGATTTTAAAAGAGTGCTAAGGGATTATTATATATATATGATCATTATACAACTGAATATATGAATGAATGAATTATATGAATGTACCTCTGAAGGTTCTGACTGTCTTCAGAAACGATTCGATGGCATTTTGTTTTCATCTTCGCTCCATGTAATACCTAAAGGAAGTGTTCTCAATCATAATACTGCTTTGTCCGGAGGTTACCGGTGTTGTGCCGAATTCTGCACCCCTGCCAGATTATGCACCCCCTCGTTGAAGTCGCTACCTGATTGCCTAATCCCAACCCCACCCCTAATCCTAATCCCTCCCCCACACCTAACCCTAAACCTACCAATACTAGGGGGTGCATAATCTGGCAGGGTGCAAATTTCGGCACTACACTGGAAACAGCTGTAATTCAGCTTTTCCATAAGCGCCACCTGCTGTCAGCGAGTGGATTTACAGAGACTTATATTTACATTCAGCCTGTGTGCAGTTTCTGTCTGGCCAAAAACGGACCAAATTTGCATGCCCTGCTGTAAATTTTGACCGGTTGATGAAAAACAAGCTTATGTGGATTCTACACATTTAAAAAATTCAGATAAGTTCTCTAGAATTATTATGGAGCAGATAAAATACATATAATCATTTATTAATCAGTTATCATTTTGACTTATATCTTTTCTTTATTTAAAGGCTAAAATGTGAGGTTTACTTTTTTATGAAACTTTTTCAAAGCTTTGTTTGAACATTTACATTAGATATTTCAACATGCTATTAAACTGTTGTCAGTCAAGTTGTCATTTAAAATCCGAACATCATTGGTAATGTTATT